CCACGCGCGGCGGCGGCTCCAGGCCGGGCGCTGACCGGGCGACCCCGAAGCCGGCCATCGCAGGGCCGCCTCACGGGCCGGCTGCCTTCAGGTCGGGCCCAAACAGGCCGTGAACAGTCAACGCTGCGCCGGAGCGAGGCCCACGCCCTGACGTCAGCCAGCAGGTGCAACCCAACTCTCAGGTTTTCCCGCCAGCACCCCGCGGGCCAAGCAGCTGCCTCGCACGCGCAGGTCCCCGTTTGGCCGGCAGGCCTCTTCGAAGACGAGGCGAGAAGCGAGCTCGGTCTTCCGGTCCAACCACGGGGAAGCACGGAGCGGGCCGCAGCTCCGCCCTCCCCGCCCACGGTCTTCGGGCGCGCCTTCCCTGAGTGCCGCAAGGGGAGCTGACCGCGCCACTTCAACGAGATGTTATTTAAGCCGATCATCAACGGGGCATTGCTTATTTCTGCTTCAGCGCACGCAGCTGAATTACAAATTAAGTGTATGTAATTTACTAACACTGCACTTTCACTTTAGAAGCACCCGCGTGGGTATGGCCCACACTCCAGGAGCCTTTTAGGACTTTGAGACCTGATCCACAGCAAGAGGTTCATTTTAGGCTGTAACCCACCACAGGCACATGTATATGATACATATGACAAAAGATACTCAAATATTCACCTTTATACATGCCAGGTACTTGGGAGTCCCTTCTGTTATATTTTGTTTTAAACAAAATCAGGTTGTGTCATCAACATGCACACAAGCAAATGTGGCGACTTCTCCAGAAGGTAATGTCTAGACGGTGCATGTGAAAGATATATGACAACAGTTCTTACTTCAGCTTAAAAATATTGTTACCACACAATTTTCTGAAAATACGAAATCTTGAAGGCAAAAACAAACAAACAAACAAAAAAACCAGGTTGTAACTCATGCACACTCTTCTTGATCCCTAACTGGGCTGAGCTTGGAGAACACTAAATGGGAATGTTTCAAGGTCTTAACAGCCCAGAGTAGGACAGTTTCTCAGGGTTAAGGAAAACAAACCAGGCAAGCACATTTATCCATAATAGTTTAATACTTTTCCACTTTAAATACTGGTTTTAATTTGTGATTGCAACATGGAAGATCCAACCTTATTATTTAAAAAGAACACCAGGATCATAAAGCTATTACAGAATAGCTACACTCTACACACCCCAAGGTACTTCAAAGCGATTATGCTGAGTATGTAGATGAACAATGACAAAATTCAAACACATCATCTTTACAGCTCGGACTAATCCTGGCGGAAAGCGTTTACCCGGACGAACACCTGATACGCTTAAGGAGAGCCAGCACAACGCCGCAAGAGAAGCGGCTCGGCCCCACAGAAGATTTCTCAACGGCACCGACACTGATGCCGCGTAGGTGTACAGACCAGCGGGTGAGACGAACGGACGGGAGCCCATTCCTCCTCGCTTCGCCTTGCCCCCTCATAACCCCTGCAGACAGCTCCTGGGTCTGGCTGCCTCTGTGGCAGTTCCAGACCGAGTGCTGCGGTGGTCATCGCCTACCTCCTGAACTGCAGCTGAAACACCGTGCAGTACTGTCCTGCAGCGGGCACTCGGGGCAACCCCCATCAGCAGAGCCTCTCAAGCTCCTAACACCGCACTCGAGTCAGTGAGTCGAAGAGGGAGCAAAAGGGCCTGCTGGGGGGGAGGTCTGAGGGAAGAGAAATACTGGGGGGTGAGAGAACGTCGTACGTACTCGGCATGCAGGAACCGCCCTGACGAAAACCATTCTCGAGGGTCGGAGTCTTGTCTAGAAGGTCAGTACCTCTCCGAATCCTGACCTCTTGAATGCTGCATTTCCCCAGCTCACTTCTAAATCTGATTGGGCAGAATTAACTCTCATGAAGAACCAGTGGAGTTACCTAAAGGTACAACGTATCTTTTCTTGTCTTCCTTTTTTTAGTACAAATATTTTAGTGTAATCATTTTATTTACAGAGTAAATTGTAAAAGTATATAATCACATTTAGCTCAAACACAACTTATGATCATTAGATTTAGATACTGCTTTGTAAACTTTCCATACCTTTGTAAAATAAAGCTATCCAATTTAGTTACGAAAGAGTTACTTGTCTGTGTTCATGACAGTTACCAGAAACAGCACACAGAAAAACATTTATAGTGGGCATAAATAATTTTTCTGAAGACTCCCATCCGTGGTATGGTGAATAGACCTTCCCTCCCCAACCCTCCCATTCTCCCATCCCAACCCCATACCCCAAGCTGATTGTAAAATAAAATACACATTTGAGGTATAAACTTTTCTTTTTTAAACATCACGATATAAAATGTTAACTGGTGATGTAGTAAACCTGTATGATAATTCATCTTATTTGCCTTACTAGCATTACCACCATAGGCACTTTTCCACATAGTCTAATTATGAACAGCATTTTTCTTTAATAAGGCATATTCCATGCACATCACTTAGAGAAAGGTAAATTAAAAAATAGAAAAGATTTAGGGAGCGTGAAATCTGCGTGCATGTAATGTAAGCATATGTTTTATATGTATTTTCCTCTCTGTACAGAATAATAAATATCACTATATTTGATGCAAGTAATTCACCTCCAGGATTGTGCATATTTAAGTGATCAGACTAATCCCATCATTAAATTATCATCTTGCATTTATCATTAAGACACCATTACCATGTATGGCATATATACAGGACATGTTCTACATGACATGACTTTCTACTTTACAAAATGGGTCTGATTTCTGTGTTTCTACAGAGTCAGCAAAGCACCTACAAAATGCCTCTGGTTTATATAAATATGTTTGTGTGTAAACACAATGAAGACTTTGAGTGGGCAGTCATTTTGACTTCAGCGAGTTCTATTCCTGGCCTCAACTCCATGCTTCAATGTTTTTCACAAAGGAGTAAGAATGAAAAAGGTATTTTACATTTTAAGTTCTTATAGCAAATAAGAAAAGCATTTTAGCTTGAATCGTGAAATCCTTTACTGGTCTGCTGAAGTTTGTGAACTAGAGGCAAATTGAAGCACTGCTCACATTTTCCATGTATACTTTGCAACGTATCATTTAAACCAACCCAAACTAGAAGAATTAACACACTTATAACTGAATACTAGAAATTTTGAATCAAATGTTAAACTCAGTCTGATTTGCTTTAACAAGTAATGCAGTATATTCACTTGGAAATTTCACGAAAACATGAGCTCGTTTTTCCTGACCATTTTCCAGAAAGCAGTCTATACCCAACAAGATTTGTACAGTGTTTTTGTTTGGAGGCAGGCAGAACCAATTTAGTAATTACCAAACTGTGTTTGTAACAAACTGAGAAAAATCTGTAGCACACAGTAAAGAACTAAAAAATATAATAGAAATATAAAGATAGGGGGAGTGGAAGAAATAAAGCTTTTCACTCTCTCTCCATCAGAACCAAGGTTCTTCATGGGAGTAAGACTCTAGAAAAGGTGAAATCACAGGTTATTGACAGCCCTCAGTTATCAAGAGACACTTATATGACAACATGAATCATTACAGAAACCAGCAGCAATGAATTCTATGATTATACAAAGCAAAAAAGTCAAAAAATTCTGGACACAGATTTGACCGAAGACCTGAAAAAAGAACCTCATCCAGATAGTTGGTGCACAGAAAGCACATGCCCCATGTGCATTCAACTTCTGTGCTTTTCTTTTGTGCACAAAACCCGATATAACCGAGGATCTTAGGCCAGACTATGGTAAATTAAAAATTCTCAAAAAGTTTCCAAAAGTAAAGCATCACTTTCTAGTTGTGATTCAACCTTGATGTTTTTTCTCTTCTAGGAGCAAGCAAATAAAAATATAGCCATATACATGTAATTGTACATGTATTTATAGTTATGCACTGAGCGAGGAGATCTAGCAGGAAACAGCTAGTGTTAGATGTTTAGCTTTGCTGTTGGAATATTTCTTCACTTTTGTACACAGGGCCAAGGTCTTGGACCATAGACAAGGCTATAGATCCTATGTTCCAGCTTAGAGCATTCAATTTTTTTTCCTTTTTTTCTCCAACATGGAATATTACACAGCCTTGCTTCAGTCACTGAAGGAAAAAAAAAAAAAAAGACAAGTAAAAAATTCAGCAATACATTACCAACAGCTCCAAGACTACCAGAACAGAGTCTTCCCCATCTTCCAAATTCATGGAATCCACAGAATCTCTATTAAATGTATCTTTATGAATGCAAAATTATTAACCTTACAGATGTGAATTTATCCCATCAACAAGGAATAGAAGATATAAGGAATCTTTTGAAAGTTAGAGAAAATTAAAAAGGACTATGTGCTAGGGTCAGCAAGGAAGGCATCAATGAGCAGTCTCTGGATTTTTATTCCACAAACTGGCATTTCCTTCCTCTTAGCCTTCAGTAAAAATAATGCCATACAGTACCATCTACCAAGAATTTAAAATTTACTGAAGCTATGGCAGAGAGGTGGGCCTTATTTAATCAGTAAATAGGCTCGGATCCCTTGTCAAATGCGTTTAGGAGTTTTGACTGTTTTAAATATCTTCAGACCTCATTAACTCTTTATAGAACTCTAAAGAGATGATACACATTATTGAATGTTACTAACTCTCCAACGCCAAAATTAAGAATATTAGCTTTCCTAGGGTTCCAATGCTACAATCCACCTCTTCCATAATTATTGGTGGAAGAAAAATTATGTTAACAAGGATTTTTACCATATGTTAAGGTTTGAATTTAGATCTTTCCAGTTCTATCTTTTTAGACATATATACATATCCCAAACAATACTAGCTCCCATCCCCAGAGATGAATTTTTAAAAAAGGATTTCAACCTCCTCCCCAACAGATCCACAAAAGAAAAATGTGTGTGTGTACACACATGTACACAGTCAATAAAACACTGCTCCAAATCTAACAGTCTAAAGTCACAGGTTGTTATGTAGCTTTCAAATGTTTTAAAAAATTACTTTTCTTAAAATCAGTTGGGAACATGTTCTACACATAACTGCATTCTGATTCCTCTTGCTTAATACAAGGTTATATTTTCTGTGCTGTGTAGTTTAATGCCTGAGCCCTTCTGGTACGGAAGTCAGCATAAAGCAACAAGAGGAAGGCCTTTGCAGCAAGGCTGAGGAAAGAAGAGAGAAGGCAGGTATGGTTGTATGCTTGGTGTGGTTAGAGTGAAAACGCAATGCTTCAAAAACCTTGAGGCCACAGCAAGAGACATATGGCTAAGTAAGGTGACAAGTCTGCTGCCATCAGGTGCCTTCAACTTTCCTAGTTTATTTGATAAGTATGGCACAGACTCAGAGTCGATAAGAAATAATGTGCCCATACATAGCTATAACAATTCTAAAGTATAAGATATTCTAAAAGTTGTCAGTGCACTTCTGCTTGGAAAGAAAGAGTTCCTAAGAGGTCAGGCTGCATGCCAAAAAACCAACCATTTAGGGAAAGTCAGACTGGAATCTGTTTAACTTTTTTTCTGGGAAAAGCTGAATATCCGAGACATCAATACCATAACCCTTGTGTTAGTATCTGATAATAAATTTAGCCTTTGTGCTTTTTTAAAAGAAAGACATAAACACCATTAGAAATCAGACAATTAAACGATATTATTATATGGTTACTCACTATTATTTTTTAGCTAAAGAAATTGATTCCAATATAAATTTCTCAGCCAGTAACTGAACATCCAATGTAGGTAAGCATGAGAGGTTGTTCATGTATACTTACTGCTTGTGTGTCACAACTGGTAATATGTAATATCTACTAATATGTTAACACACAAAAGAGTTCGCAGAAACAGAATTATACAAATGGCTGTCAGTGGACTGAAACATGCTTAAACTCACTCATAAGAAGAGGAATACAATTAAAACTACACAGAAAGAGTATTTTCACCTAATACATTGGAAAAAGTCTAAATGTTTTGCTTCATACATTGTGTAAAAAAGTATGGCAAACAGGCATCTCACTCGGTTATTGCTGGTGAGATGGTAAATTAATAGAGTGTCTATGAAGGGCAGTATCTAAATTACAAATGGTAGCACCACATTTAGTAATTTAACCTACAGTAAACTTGAAAGTGCAAAATGACATATGGATACAATTTAATACCGTTCTAGCAAAAATGGTTAGCAACTCCAAAGCAGAATTTATTAGATAAATTATGTAATCCATACAATGGGCCACTGTGTAGCCATTAAATGAAAGAATGAGGATGCGCCTTAAAAATATGGTAAGACCTTCAAGACAAAGTCAGACCAGTATTTGTATGCATATAATATTATATATAATTATATATAATTATATAACAATTATACAGCTTATAATAATTGTGTGTAATATTTTTGGTGGGCAAAACTGGGTGAAGAGAGAGATGGGATAAATTACACTGTATTCCTTTTCCAAATTTTTGACTTTTGAAACACAGTGATATATGACTTGTTTTATTTTTTCTTTTTTTTTGAGTTGGAGTCTCACTCTGTCGCCCAGACTGGAGTGCAGTGGCCGCTCCCAGTCACCGCAGCCTCGACCTGCTGGGCTCTGGCGATCCTTCCACCTCAGTCTTCTGAGTAGCCGGAATTACAGGTGCGCACTACTACGCCCGGCTAATTTTTTGATTTTATTGTAGAGATGAGGTCTCGCCTGCTCAGGCGGGTCTGGAATCCACTCAGGCAATCCACTCACCTCAGCCTCCCAAAGGCGCGGGATTATAGGCTGAGCCACCGAGCCCAGCTTATATGACTTGTTTTTAAAAAAACTAAATATTCTAGCTCCTTACATGAAGATGTTCAGTGTAGCACTGTTTGACAATAAAAATACGAAACGAACTAAGTCATTAACATGGGACTGATGAATAAGTTCTGTAATATTCATATAACAGATGTGATGAGCATGAGATGGTCTTTTACATTTCATATCTTATATGGAAAGGTAGTCAAGGTATACTGTTAAGTGAATAAAAAGCTGCAAAACGATGAGTAAAAACATGTTTTTTAAAACACTCAAAAATATAATTTCAATACATATATAAAGTATGGAAAAATATGCAACAAAAATAACAATAGCTTCTGGGAAAAGAAAAAATACAGGGAATCTGTACATCAGAAATTATGTAGTTCTATAATGTTAAAATTAAAATGTCTTTAAGTATTAGAAGAAAAAATAAAGGATAACAAAATAAATTTTAGGGACTATAAACTATAATCCTCTAACTAGGAACCATCATAAAACCCAGCATCTGCTTTCAACAACTAACTACATTTTAGTATTTGCAGAGTCAAACTAGTCAAATAAAGATTTTTAACAAATGGGAAAAACATACCTTCCAGTACCTGTTAATACTAGAATAAAATGGGCTTTCCTGCAGTTTTTTCTTGGACGTAAGAAGTGAAACGCTTTAGAAATTTGGGGTACTCGCGCTTTGCCACAGCCCTCAGCACGGAGGCTGGTGCCCATCCTCCAGGATTCACTGTAAGACAGAGGAAAACCGCAACTTGCTGAGATACGCTTTTCCAAACACATGGGAAACACTTAAGCCGTTCCTTTGTTTCTAAAAATTCCTCATGTTGGACCAGTTAGCATCCTTTAAAGTCTCAACCATTCATTCCTTGTAATGACCCTCAGACGTGATCTGATAGCAAATAAGAAAGCATTTATAATCTTTCCAAAATGTTCTTGGCTTCTTAAATTACATGCAAATATTGGTATAGCAACACTAGGTTATTTAGGACAGATTTATCCATCAACCTCTACTATAATTAAATAGTAACATACTAAGGCGCAATTGTTTCTTGAAACATAACTAGCGGTTTTGGCCTGCATAAAGAAGGTCTGCATATTTGATGAGCAACACCACTGCAGGTGTAAAGTGGGTGGAGCGAGGAACCAAGCAAGCAGTGAAAAGTGCTGTCCAGCAGCATGCCACACTGAAATGAATTTTCAACTAGCAGCTAGTAAGGACTAGGTGAACACTGGCCCAGAAAACTAAAAGCCTAGCAATGAAGAAAAGAACTGGTAATTTTCTTTTCACTGTTGCTTATAATCCCCAATTATAAATACATTCTATTAGGTAAATATCTAACAAAACAGTTCTTAAAATGAAGGCTATATGATCATGACCAAAAGATAAAGTTTTAAAAAGTACCTATCCAGTTCCAGATTCAGAAATATTCATCTAGTACTTCTGAGGGACCCAAGAGACTCAAAAAAGCTATACTTACCGTAAAAGAAGCGTTCATTGTATTTTATATATCCCTGCCTCACGTTCGCTATATTTTATGAATTCTTAGTATTTTAAATCCTACCTCAGACCCCATAGGACTAGGCATATTCCTTTGCCTGGTAGTGACCGTGATTGTAAAGCTATACAATGTTTTAAGCAGAACTCTTGTTAAGCTCTGTTCGTCCCAATTGCCATGCTGACTTCTGCTTCTGCAACGGGATGTAAATGTTAAGCAAGCAAGCCCCACCTGAACATTCCTTTGTTTAGATCAGCAGACTTGGTGGCGCTAGCCAACCTCTCCGTGGGCTCTGCTGGGCTCTGCGTTGTTTCAAACCTCCTGCCTGCTTGCTCAAGTTAATTTACACGCAGTGCTTATCTGACATTCCACTCTTAGCAGTTCCCCGTCAATCACAGGTAGCTAAGCTAGAGCCTGCGCAGACCAGAAAATAAACCTACCAATCCCAAGTGCCCCCGTACCCATTAGGAGAAATTACCCAATCATGTAAAAACAAGTTTAGAATTCTTTCCCCTCCCTCTGTAATTGTGCATAAAAACTGCTTGCTATACTGAATCAGGGCTCTCATTCTCAAGCCTCTGTGTCAGCTTCAGTTTGTGAGCCCAGATTAGAGCCTGAATAAAAACCCTCGTGTGTTTGCATAGGAGCTGGCTCTTTGTGGTCTCTCGGATTAAAAATCTTGGGTTTAACATTTCTAGGGTGAAATTCATCTGGGGTGGATATTCGGGCAAGTGTATTTTCAAAGTTTCCCAGATAATTCTGGTACATATCTCTCCAAATTAAAAATCAGTAATATACAGAATAAGAACTAAAGAATAATTTGTCCAAACTGTCAGTTATCATGTAGAACACAATCAAGGACATGCACATTATCAAGTAGCAAAAACAAACAAAAAATACATACCATTAGCTACATATGTAATCTTGCATAGAATGTTGTCCCTGCTAATCTCCTGGTTTCCCTCTGGTGGGCTTACCAAGGTTTGACAGATCATAGCAACATTTATTTTGGCACGGACACACCGATTGTTTAGCTGCCGAAACAAAAACAAAGCACCAGTATACCAGATACCCAGTATTCTGCAATCTCTTCCGGTCTAAAGCTACATTAGGCTGGCCAACAAAACCCTGTAAGCACTAATAAGTAACACAGGCCAAGCTGGTACAACACCATGGTCTTCCCTCCTCAGAAATAGTAACTCGAGCTGAATTGAGGTAGAAACCAGAGGCTGAGCCAGGAGTTGACAACGGCCTTGGAGATGGACTGGGGGAAGCGGCCTACCTGCAGCACACATTCAGCTCTGTGGATGTTCACAGCCATGTCTGCTGCCCTCAGACAACACACAGGGTTTGCTTGTTAGCCCCGCATAGACCAAAACCCAAGAAGCACGGTCAGATCCATATCTGTGTATGTGTGATATGCACTTACTGTCTTTGCCCTGCTTTGTGTATTGAGCTTTATATTGTAAAATTATACACATTGTACTTACAGGAGCACTGTCATGATCCACAGAAAAATTACAAACTATCCAAGTTTCAGGGTCATTTTCAGTCAAGGCTGCTATCTTTCGAATGGCAGAAAGATATAATACATCTCGCTGAGAAGCAGGCCACACTCTCTGTGGAGAAGTAAAAATCTTTTGAAAATTTGAACTACTTTTATTCAGATTTAACATGGAGATGACAGAGAAACAAATGTCAAACCAATAATAAATGTCTTAGTTGAAGGTAAAGATCTGTCAAATTTTAAATGGAAAGCACCTGAGAATACAAACCAAATGATCAATTATGAACACTGAGTTAATGGCTTTGCAAAACATTATAAACAAAGGAATAATATATATATTTTAAACAATTATATATATATACTATAACTTGCTAATATAATTGTTTCTTAGTGTACAATTCAGTAGCATTAATTACATCCACAGTGTTACGTCACCCACCACTATTTATCTCTGAAATTTATTATCAACTCCAACAGAAACTATGTAACCACTAAGTAACAACTCCCCATTTCCCTCCCCCCATATCCCCTGGTAATGTTCTGCTTAGACTCAAAGACTTAAAAAAATAAACTGTTATCTTGTTTAAGTTACATTCATTTTGGGTATCTGTATGTAACTGAACTTAGTCCTTATTACGCAGGGTCTTCCTGATTGCTAAGTGTAATAAATAGCCAACAAATAACTCAGTGTCAATACAACACAAATTGTTTGCAAAGTGAAATGATTCGTTTTTGAGAGATGCAAAATTTCATGAGGTTGATGAAAGCAGTATTGGGCAAATTTTGTGACAGACTATAATACATAAAGATCTGGCAAATTTAAAACCAATGAATGCAAACCCACAGGATGATAAGATAGAAATTTAAGGAACAAGAATAACTTAAGTATCAGGAGACCATACCAAATAAGTAAAATTTAAAGGGAAAGATATCGAATAGTGTAATTCAATTTTGCTAAAAAGTTATTCCAGGATAATTTGTTTAATGCAATAACTGGCAAATAGTTATAGGTGTAACTTAAATTTTCTTACCTATCAGAGACATTATTTTAATAATTTTTGGTGCCGTTTTTCAATTCAGGCACCACCCACATGACTCTTCCTCCATCTACTGCTACTTATGTAGTGGAACGCCTTCAGCAGACTGCTTCCCATGATCAATTATCTTCAGAAAATAAGGTTCCTCTGATTCTACATTATTAGCTATTTATCTTCATTCCAAATTACAGGAAAATTAATTGATATTTTGATACTTACTAAATTTTAGATTTCAAATTAGACCCCAAAATCTGTATGCTGAAACAGAAGCTTCATTATTATACATGTCTAGAGCAGCTATCATGTAAAATAAAGCACAGCTCATAAGTATTAGATATAAGATGTTTCAGATGACAAGACTGAGCTCAATAAATATAAAACAAACCCAAAATATTTTCATCTATTTGACTCAATTAAAGAACAATTACAAAAGAGAAAAATGAAATACCCACTGACTGGAACAATGAAGTATGTACTGAATCATTATATTTTTTGCCAAACACACAAAGTCATTTTTGGTGAAGTTGTCCAAAATTTAAATTCCTTATATTATCCTATACACAATGTATTATTTGGCAATTTTTAAAAAGCAGAGTAGAATACGGTAAGAAAAATATTAATTTTATAATTCTAAAGACCAAAAAATAGTAGAGGAAGAAATATGAAAGAGAACTGATTTAAACTACAATGTCTAAGTGTGCTCTGGGTATGACTAACCTCTCAATAGTCATACTCAGCAATTCTTCCTTGCTTTCAGATAATCCCCTTAGATCACTTCCTGATTCACTTTCATATTTAATAACTATCATTTATCACATATACAGACTAGTTGCTAGAAAAGTATTTAAATATATTTCAGAAATTCAAGAGCAGTGTGGGCAACACAGCGAGAACCTCGTGTCTCTTTCATTTAATTTTCTGTCAAATTTTACTTTAGAGAATGTGTATGTTGGAGTGGGAACTGCACTGGAATCCTCTGGATGAATGAAGAGATCTTTACCTTGTGCGTTTGATAAATGATGATTGCATTATCAGCCAATGTTTCCACCACATGAAAGTTTTCTATAGTTGCTGAAATGAAGAGAACAATATTAGCAGCCAATAGGATATATTATCTTTTCCCGGAATGTGATAAATTCACTTATGTTGAGAGTCAATTACAAATGGACATTATGGTAAAATGAACAGGATCCTGTTCCACCTAGGCTAAATCCAAATGTTAATACTTGGTTTTACAGGTATACATGGGGGCTGTGAAGTCTGATCATCAGCAAGTCTCATTTTTTTTTTTTTGGGCCCAATATCTATTTTCCACAGCAAGAAAGTGATTCTACTACTGCTGCACTACTCAAATAATTCTCTAACACTATAACCCATCTCTCTTTCCTGATTTACTGAAATTCAGTAAATTGTTCTATGTAGGCTTACATGACTACATTTATGAAAAAGAATGGTGGCCTGGTTCGGTGGCTCAGCCTGTAATCCCAGCACTTTGGGAGGCTGAGGCAAGTGGATTGCCTGAGCCCACGGGTTCAAGATCAGCCTGGGCAACTTGGTGAGACTTTGCCTCTACAATAAAAAAATAAATAAATAAAAATTAGCCGGGCGTAGTAGCATCCGCCTATAGTTCCCATGTACTTGGAAGGCTGAGGCCAATGATAAACACCTTATGACATTCAGAAGTATCTACATTTATGTAATTTGGTGTCTAAGGGGAACACACACACACACACACACACACACACACACACACACACACACACACAGTAATTCCAAACTGACCACAGAAGGACTCATCTAGGATTTACCATGGAAACAAAACAGTTTTGGAAAGAGTAGGTGATAAAACAGAAACCTTCAATTTTAGTACTGGCTTTTCCACCAAACAGCTCTGTGATCTTTGACAAGTCACTTGACCTATGTGAATTTTACTTCATTTGTATGTAAAACTAGAAATAATAATACCTACTATCATGTAGGATTACTGAGGTATGAGATAAATAACATACTGAGAAGCATTTTGTACATTGAAAAACTCTATTTAAATGTAAGATATTATTCACCCCCTATGTGATTCTCCACTGACTTTGTAAACTATCAGATGCAGAACACCAGGTTGGAGGTTGGATTTGATACTAAATTCAAAATAATAATTAGATTAAAATATATTAATAATGACAGCTTACTTTCCCAGTCATTGCGAACATCAACATTCCAGAAGTAATTGCAGACCTCATGTCCTGTAACACCTTTCACTGCATGGGTAGCTTTTAAAGGGTCCAAAACAATCCCGTTTTCTTCTACTTCTCTTCTGTATACCTAAAGAGGAAATAATTTAAAAGTTTGAAAATTAAAATTCAAACCCTCAAAGTACAAGCTTGGAAAGCATGCTTTTAAATTTAGTTTCTTTTTAGATTTCTTTACTTATAAAAATCTATTTATAGAACATACACTGCTAAAAGGAAATAAAAGTTTCAAATTAACACAGATAACGCAAAATACTTAAAATTACACATCCAAGGTAAACTTCAACTATAAAAAACATGTATATGCAATGAATAATTTATTGTGAGTCGTTTAAAAATAAATATATTAATTTAAATTAGGCATTATTTACCAAATAGTCTCAAAGATTGTTTAACATGATTAAAAAAGCCAAATAAACCTGGCTAGAACATACTCCCCTTAAAGATATTGAGTTAAGGCTGCTTTGTTCAATGTTGTATCTCTAGTCTCTAGATCAGCATCTGAAACAGAGTAGGCACTCAACTGCTTGTTGAATCAGTGGCAAAAAGCTTATAAATGCAGATCTATCTTGCTTTAAACATTGAGGTCATGTACCTTGAGTGCTTAGTAAAATTATTTTAAAATTATAGGGCGTTTGTTCTTAAAGAGCTCTGTGGTAAGTTCTTTTAGGCAATCAAGAAACGTGTTACAAAGGGGAGAATCAGCTCTCGATTTGTGGCATGCCTATGGGGTCAGACACTGCTAGGCACTGCACATAGCTTTCCTTTCACACTCTCTCTCACCAGACTGCCTTCCCCCACCAAACTTTTAACCACATTATTGGGACTCCTATTTCCCTAGTTACCCAAACTAGAAACTCCAGACTTCTGATGCCTCCCCACAGTTCACACAGCTGTGAAGCTTAGTACTACTACTCCTCTCTAAGACATCCACCAGCTTGACTTTTCTACTATTATCTGTTCTAAAGGGGTTTTCATCACCATGCTCCTGACTCTCTTAAAAGAGAGACCTTAAAAGGTCTTCCTGTTCTCCAGTTTCTTCCCTGTCAGTTTTATCTTCCTAAAACGATACTTTCCATACAGTGGCTGATCTACTGTTCCAGATAATGACGATTATCCTCAGGTTACTTTATGCCCCCCATAATCTACCCCCAAATTCTCTCTCCCTAATGCTGAGGGTTGTAGGAGCACTTATTTCTCTACTCCTCACTCCAGGTGGAAGGACTTCATCTAGACTACCAAAGTTCTGGCTTCTCTTCAGTCCTTCACTCCTTCTCCCTAGAGGAGGAGCACAGACTTATCTGAGTAGTACATACACAAGGAGGAACAAGACGAGCTTGGCTCAACCCTTTCTTCCACAGAAAGTACGTGTTTTGGTGTGCTTTTGGGGTCTGCTCCTGCGGAGAAGGCCTGTGATTATCCTGCGATGTCAGGAACATTACGTTTAATTTTAGGGTAACAAGACCTTGTGGCAGCTGATCTCAAGCTATTTGCTACAATCAGCTTATCAGAATTACAGCTAACACTTTGGTATCTCATTTATCTGTCTCCTCTATTTCTTAATTTGTTTCTTATTCACAAGGAAAGGAAATTCCAGTACCTAATATTGTATCTTGTTTGCTAGAATAAGTCTGATCAGCACAGTCTATATAAAAGTCCTGAATAAGAAATTTGCTAGCTGGGCTCGGTGGCTCAGCCTGTAATCCCGTGCCTTTGGGAGGCTGAGGTGAGTGGATTGCCTGAGCCCGCGGGTTCGAGACCCGCCCGGGCAGTGAGACTTCATCTCTACAATAAATCAAAAAATCAGCCGGGCGTGGTGGTGCATGCCTGTAGTTCCGGCTACTTGGAAGGCTGAGGCAGAAGGATGGCCGGAGCCCACGAGGTCGAGGCTGCGGTGGCCGGGAGCAGCCACTGCACTCTAGTCTGGGCGACAGAGTGAGACTCCAACTCAAAAAAAAAAAGACATTTGCTTTACAGTTTCTGCTCATGTCCCCAGTCATCTGTACTCTTCACTCAGCACCTCATTAGACAGAGAAAGTGACACTATCTTTTAAATGTCATATCCTTTTTCCTCAACTAAAGTTTTAGTGTGGAGGGAGTCTCTGTATCTTTAGCATAATCCCTCAATTACGAGGTAATCCGAAATTCAGAGCTGCTGCTGCTTTTCTTTGTAAACAAACATTTCATTTTAAAGATGTGGGGCACAAGTCAGGATTCGGCACAAAACTAATCTATGCGCAATTTGTGAAGTTCGGACTGAGGCTTTTCAACTGTCTCCTACATCTCCCTTTCCTTACTCTTATTTTCCGTCTCAGTATTTAGGGATGTGAATAAGAGTTACTAGCCAATGCCCCAAAATCAACCAAAGGTGCAGTAAGAGTAAAGACAAGAAGGGAGTTATAGACCAAAATGGGAGAGAAATAAGGTGACATCTAGGCATAACACTTAGTATATTAAAGAAATAAGTAAAACAAAATGAAATATCCAGAGGACTATCAGCTCATTGTAACCTGTTCATATCCAAACCTTCAATTTTTATTTTCTCTATGGCAAAGGCAAAGCAGAATAGTTTACTCATAAATTTATATTATGATCATAAAGAAACACTAATTTCAGATATCAAGATCTGGTGCTTCTTTGAACATACGTAATGATTTGTTTTAAAGTAATTTAAAAATGCTATTCTTATTCATATCAATAGTAATGACTGAGGACTAAATTCTGACCTTTTTCCCCCCCTCTCTCTTGCCACAACTAACCGGGGAGACGACTTTTTATTAACCCTATAAAATGTGGATTCTTTCCAATCTCACACTGGCAAAACACCACACAATAGATATAGAAGGAAATAAAAAATAAGCCATCTCTTCAGGGAGATTTGTGTCTGCACAGAATTCCATCCTAGGGATCCACAGAGGAGCTACACACTTGCTATCTATTATCTTCCAAGGCTGTCACCTATGCGGTGTCATCTAGGTATCAAGAAACTTCCTCATCATTCCTTAAGCCACCCCTTATCTCAATGCAGTATCTCCTTTACTGATTTCAAAATTTCTTAGAGTAAATCTGTGAATTCACCTAAGACCACCCGTAAGCCACTGCTTGGAGATGTCCTGTCTTCCCAGGTCGAACCAATGCAAATCTCACAGGTATTAATTTATTATTTTTGTAACTTCTGTCTTCCTAAGAGGTATACAACCAAGCTATAATTCAATCACCTCAGACCTCTTTGGGACAGTGCATAGGTAACTCACATTTGGCTCAGAATAAACATTCTTAAATATTTTATAGCGTTTGGCGTCTTTCAACAATATGATAATATGACTGAAATAGAGCTGCACTTAGTAATCTGCAACATTTCCGCGGGGACTACCTTCATTTCTCCTTCTTCTACAACCAACTGCCAATTGGCATCTCCTCCTACATCCTGTAATGAATAAGTCATGTGGTTCTGCACCATCTCTTCAACCTTGAAAAAGAAATAAAGGCATAAGAATCCAAAAGCTATATCATAATCTCTGAAATATAATGGCATTCAGTTTAATTCAGTTCAGAAATGGTGCTCTTAGAAAGCTGAGCAACCAAATGCACAAAGGTTAGTTAGTAGGCTTTATACAGTGTTGAAGAGTTTAGACCACATTCCAGATATCCGGGTTAATGACAGGAGGGAGGAATTCAGGGAAGAAAGATACTTTACTCAAGTTACACAGATAGATCTAATATGCACTGAGTAACCAAAATAAGCATTTTCTGGAAAAAAGAAATATTCCATCCCTTATCATAAAACATGGAGATCATATCTTAAAGCATAAAAATCATAGAATACTAAGGATAAAAAGAGCACAAGGAGATCATCTAGTCCAATATTCCTATATTTAAAACTATGGAGATCAGAAAGTTCTGACATGAACTAAGAGTTACATCTATCTATCCATATATGTGTGTGTGTGTGTGTGTGTTTGTGTATATATATATATATATATATATAGAGAGAGAGAGAGAGAGAGAGAGAGAGAGAATGAGAATATCTTTGCTCATATCTTTGTCATAGCTTTTCTTTTATATGGGCAAAGATACATATGTAAAAGATTCCCATACAGAAAAGTTCCTTACTTCACTGATAAACCTCTCTCTTTTATCATTAATATAAAAATAATCAAAGCCCCATTTATTTGATTCTGATTTCATTATTCTAAATTCTTTCAGAGAAAATGCTAACATTTATACATGGAACCATTTACAATCACCTTTTAGTACATTCTTTTAAAATTTCAAACTAAATTTACTGCAACTTAAATGTAACTTCTACTTAACTATTACAAACTGCTGCTACACATTTAATATAAACAAGTAAAGAAAGCTGAATATTTCATACTCCCAGAATGCTCAGAGTTATTGGTAAGATTCCACATGAGCATTCTTTGCAAAATCTCTCAGTTTGAAACATGTTTTCAGACAGAGCTGAAGTGATAAAGATTATAGAACCTAAATAATTTTATTTTATGTAATAAATTTAAGTTTAACTACTGTACTATTCTGTTCATTAGGGATACAGAATAAGGAAACAGATTTAAACATATTTTGAAATACATTAACAGGTTTAAAGAAAAAATTCTTAAAAGTGATTAACTCTGGGAACGTAATTTTTCTATACTAAAGGATGTCATCAACATGTTATAGTGATATATACTTCTGCTACATCAAGTTTTCTGAATCTTAAAATTTTTGATTATGGAAGGTAAGTATGGATTTAAGTCTCTCCTGATTTGTCAATCATCACAAAGTTTTTGATAAAATGTTGATGTTGAGACTCTAGAATCTATTTTTGTACTAAATAAAACCATAATAATTTATTCCTTTACTCATAATTCTCAAAACAATGTGAGTAATATGGGTTACAGACTTGAGAAAAAATTTTAAATTAAACTAATAAGACATCCTACAATTTTAAAAAGCCTTAGTTAGAAAATATAATAACTTCAGGTGCTGCATGGAGAACTTATATGCCTCCGTAATTTTGAAATCTGCCTTGAGAAGGTAAGGGTAATTAATGCAGGATTCCAAGTTGTGAATACATACAAAATGTGTCTGATTTCCAAAAGAGAAAAAAACAAGAAAAGTTCCAGTTAGTATGTATAATTAAAACAACCACACTTGTGTTGGCTTGATTCATTTGTCTGTGTCACTTTGTTATTGGGAGAAATGTTTACCCTGTTTCGATCCTAAGATCTTAAAAACCTTAAAAATCTTTAGATTTGATTATGTACTTTTTAGGTAGAAAACAAATATATTTATTATGAGATTAGAGACGGCAGTAAATGCTTCCCAGAAATAAACTCTACTTTCAATAGTTACTTGTGAAAGAAGAATGTGAGGAATGAAAGAATTTTATTCTGTTAAAAAACAGTTTGGTTTTAAAGTGGTTTAATGTTATTCAGCTCTTTTGTCAGAAAAAATGCAGGTAAATTTTGATTTTGTTTGAGACTATTCCTGAATTAAGTGCTTCAAATACTTGAGAACTGAGGGGTTTCTGATTTGTGTTTTCATTCTAAAGAAACCAGATTCCACAAATATAACCAAAGAGAAGATAGCACAGGCCAGGCACAGTGGCTCTGCCTATATTTCCAGTATTTTGGGAGGCCAAGGCAGGAGGACTGCTTGAGCCTAGAAGCTCGAGACCAATCTAGACAACATTGTGAGACCTTGTCTCTACCAAAAATTAAAAAAGTAGCCAGGCACAGTGGTGCTTGCCTGCAGTCCCAGCTATCCAGGAACTGAGGCAGCAGGATCAGCTGAGCCCAGGAGATCGAGGGTGCAGTGAGCTGTAATAGTGCCACTGCACTCCAGCCTGGGTGACAGAGTGAGACACCAATTCAAGAAAAGAAAAAAAGAAGATAGCACAAATTAAGTAATGTATGGAAAGCACATTAACACTGTCTTTCTAAATAGATAAAAGTGATACGCCTTAAAATGGCAGGCCACATAGAAGGCCCAGGTTCAGTTACCAACCCTTCTTTACAAAAATTTTTTTAAAAAGTAGTATTTCTCTAATCACTGCATCAATAAAAAACTAGTTTTCAAAAGGTGGTTCAACCAGGAAAGAAACATTCAGAGTTGTGATCCTAGAAAATTAAAGAAACTAATAAACCACTAAGTTATTGAAGTAAATGCCGCACAGCTTTTATCATGGAGTCTTTATTCACTATGGTATCTTCCTTGAGGTAACAACATTAAGCTTAAGAAGAAAGATGATAGGTAAAAATCTCACTATAACATATTCTTCTGTTCACTGCAGTAAAAAATGATGTAGCCTATATTATTACAGGTGCAGCAATTTGGGAATTGGTAACCACACTGACACTTAAGATCTAGCCTAATAATCTGCTAAGTTTACTGTTCAGTTATGACTCTGTATAATGAAAAGATGAGGGAAACAAGGGGCTTGTGCATTTAAAGACAAGCATAAACACATCCAACTTTACCATCTTATTAGCCTCAAAATTTGATGTTTTAGAGGACATGTTACTAGCAACACTTGCTGTCATTTAAAAATAAAAGACTGGATTAAAACCACTGAGGCAGGGTGAACGGTATTTGGTAGTTTTAATTTAGAGTGTAAGCTGGCTCATCATTGCAGAAATCATGCCCTTGATTTTTCTGCCTAGAGGTGAGTAATGAGCTGAAACATATAGCATCTTCATACTAATGACTTTAAAAAAAAGGAGATAAAACACACTGAGATAAGAAGGGACATAACTCCAATTCTAACTTTTTCTTCCATCTCACATCCGAATCACTCAATATGATGCCATTTTTGAAGGTTACCAAGTTTGATTTTTCTAACACTATTAACACAGAAATTTGAAAAGAAAATTGCCCTGTGATGGTACAATAACATGAGAGTGCGTGCCTATAATTCCGGTTAGTTGGGAGGCTGAGGCAGGAAGATCACCTGAGCCCAGGAGTCTCAGACCAGCCTTGGCAACATAGCAAGATTCTGTCAAAACAACACGCCAAAAAATGTCTAGAAGGGCTCAAAAGAGCTCAGATCTCTTTCTCTTACTCATGTGAATGGAATACAACTATGCTTATTGTTACAAAGTCACAAAGCCATAGAGGGGCTTGTTAGATAGAATAATTTATTAGCAGCAGATTAACAGAGCACTGTTAACCCAAAAGAGAAATGGCCAAGGACATAATTCAATGAAGAAATGCAAATGGCCACAAAGTAAAAATATCACTTTTAGTCTATCAGATAGGCAAAAATTAACTGAATTATATTATTCAGTGCCAGTATAGTAAAAGACAACTGGCTTGAGAGTGTAAGCTGGCTCAATTTTTTGGCAATAAGAATTTTTTAAAAACTTGAAAATGCTCATGGTCTTTGTCCCAACAATCACACTTCCAGTGATATATTTTAAGGAAATAATTGGATAAGAGTGCAAAGATGTATATACAAGAATATATGCAAGGATGCTCATTGTTGACTATTTATAATAGAAAAAATATAAAATAAATCATTAAATATTAAGAAAGTAGATAAAACCAGTATGTATATTCATAAATAGATAAAGAGATGCAGATCTACATTTACTGATGGAAAAATGAGCCTAAATATAAATTTAAAACAAAGACTATAAAACAATGTATACATAATTATCTACTGTGGTGGAAAAAAGACAATTAAGGTATGTCTATTTATCGATTTGTGCCAGACTTCATAGAGATAGATGATAGATAACATGAGACTATTAATCATGATGTTATTTTATTCATGCTACTCTCTAGTCTTGCTAAAATCAGTGTGTATCATTTGTACACTGAAAAAAGGGGTGTAACATAAATAATCACTATCACAACAATGTGTTACTATGGACACAGAATGGGAAAGAGCTTTACATAGACCTGTTTCTTGCAGTGAGCACCACAGACAACCTTTGATGTCTTTCTTTTTCAATAGAGTATGAGGTTTTCCCTCCTTTGGTTTCTGAGGTGACAGCTTTAAGTGGTAACTGGTATGCAGACAAATAAGACAAAAAAAGTTCATTTATAAATCCAAGTCCTTTCTACTCTCTGTATTCCTAAAAGTTATTTTCTGGTTTTGGTTGCAGTCATTATTTCAAGAACCCGGAGTCCTTTACAACTCTAATTTCTCAGATTTGGAGCAACTTCATTCCTGATATCTGCCTATCAGGCAGATTCATGTGTGGTGCTAATTTCCTAACAGACTCACATATTGTAAGTTATTTTCAGAGTATCCCTCAGTTCTATACTTGATTATCTCACCCAATTTAAGACTACATGAAACAATTTCAACAATAACAAGGTAGTCCAGAGTCAACAATTATGTAGACAGCAAAGTCGAATTATTAGCAGAGGTTTAGAAGATGTCTGTATGGGAACTGACAAATGATTTTTAAAAAAACTAGATATGATATCTGTATAGATGTCTGGATTTTTAAAATTTGTTGGAGTAAATATGAATTGACTGAGGTAGCCTAAATAATATTCTGTCAAATTATTGAAAGTGATGACAAACTTTGATTAGTTTTTGAACTAGTTACCAAGACATTACAAAGCAGAGAATCTGGCTACCTTGAATATTTTAAGGAATGAATGGATTAATTTATTTATTTTAATGTATATTAATATATTACTATGTACAACATAATATAATGCAACATAACCTAAATGTTTCTAATGTTAATGAATAACCTCAGAGCTTCTTATTTTGCTTAATACACAAGTCTCTTCAAGATTTGAAAACTGTAAAATGTACCAAATTCAACCTAGCCATGACTGTAATTTCACACTGTGGTAAACTGGAAGAGTTTCCTAGATGACATGATATTTCTTAGCTAATACTAACTCTAGGTCTGGTCCCACTGCTATATTCTCAAGCGTGATTACACAGAATCAATTTACTAGATACTTTTATGAAAGGTGATAAGGCAGTGCAAAAGCCTATAAAATAAACAACCTTATTAACTTGGAATTAGTTATCTATTCTAAAGGTGTTGCTGAATGTGAGGCGTACAGTTTTATCAACAGTTAACTGCCAGAACCCAAGTCTGCTGATGACAACAAATGCTTTACCAAGCACAATACTTGAAGACCTTAATGGGATTTTCTTCATTTTTACCTCTTTTGGCATATAAAACCAAAAGCTGAAACAGGATCTGATCAATTATGAGAACCATATATTAGAAAAAAATCTACCAGCAAGATTAATTTCTTTCAACTTATGTATACGAGTTATGTAAAAAGTTATATAAAGAAGTAAGCTATAACTCAGCAGAGTCTTATACAAATGTAGGCACCTGCTTGTCAGTGGTATCGTCATCTGTACTTAAAGGCTTTCAGAAGTTCTACAGCACCACAGTTAGGGTCCAGGCTTGAGTTCTGAAGCCCTAGTCCTTAGGCATTCTTTATCACTGGCTTGCATTCTTTCCTTGCTCTCATTGTATTTTCTTTCATTTATAGTCTATGAACTCCTACATTTCAGGGGAAAATGATAACCAGTGCTGAAGGGTTTTGGTTAGGCTGTGATTTTATTATTTTAATGCAAGGTGGAGTTAAACCAACATCTCTTAATATTCTCTCATTTGTCACTGATTCATTGCAAATACAATAAGTATTTTTTTTTTTTTATTTTTATTTTTGAGTTGGAGTCTCACTCTGTCGCCCAGATCGGAGTGCCTTGACCTGCTGGGCTCCGGTGATCCTTCCGCCTCAGCCTTCCAAGTAGGTGGAACTATAGGCGCGCGCTACCACATCTGGCTAATTTTTGATTTATTGTAGAGATGAGGTCTCGCTAAGTTGCCCAGGCAGGTCTCAAACCCTCGGGCTCAGGCAATCCACTCACCTCAGCCTCCCAAAGCGCTGGGATTACAGGCTGAGCCACCGAGCCCAGCTCAATAAGTATTTTTTAAAAAAAGAATGTAAAAATGAATGAGCAGGAGATAAGAAATACTGTAGTATGTCTGCTTATGGGTGATTTCTAATCAAGAATGGCTAAACCTTTTTCTCAAAAATGTTCAAGGAGGAAAAAAACCTGCAAAAGTCAGCAAAACTTGTCTTAATTTTCTTCTCTATTATACAGTTAACATATGCAAATCTTATTTGTATATGTAAACTAACAGAAATTTGTTTTAAACCACGTCTCTGAAAAACTTTTATTGGAATATTCTCATAGAGGAAAAATAATGACATGGATGACTCTGATTAGCTCAAAGAAATTACGTTATTTTAATGACAACAAAAACTTACATGTACTGAGTACTTACTATGTTCTAGGCTCTAGCTTCACAAAGGTGAAGTACAAAAAGAGTTAGAAAACTTGCCCAAGAGATCATGTAGCCAACCAGGATTTAAACTCAGACATTTAGACTAGAGCTCAGATTCTTAATGCAAGATTAACACAACAAAATGTAATCCAATAAAATGCAATCACCATAAAGATACAAAGTTCAGTGGCAAAGATGAGAAGATTAAAAAAAATTTTTTTAAACTAATGCTGACACTAAAAAAATATTTCTTCAATTAGTAATTTGATTTTGAGGGAAGAAACTGCAAGTATCCAGCTTCCTGTCTCAAATTCTTAAACCCTTAATGATGCTATATAACCTTAAAACCAATTTCCATAGATTAAGCATATGGGCAGAAATATTAATTCCTAATATCCAAGGTTACTTTGCATAAGAAAAACAAAACGTGCTCGATGGAGCTTAGTATTTTAATGGAAGTGAGATATATTATTTAAAAAGTAATAAAATTCGCAGATATTTTAAATTAGATTTAAAAACTACTGAAATCTGCTTCTATGCTATAACAAATCCGGCAGACCATGTATATAAAAATTGCTGAAACCAGTCTAAAGGCACAGATATTACATGATATATAAAAACAAAAACCAGTATCTCTATTTGTTTCAATTTAAGTTTGAAAATCTTTCTGGAGTACCCCCTTGATGACAAAATTCCAAGTTATTCACAGTAGATGGTACAAAGCAAGGGTACATGCAAGCTTGACAGAGGAACTACTTAGCAGATAAGAAAGGTCTTTGTAATGCTTATTGTTACTGTTTAAACTTAAAAACTAAAACCAGTGGCCCAACAAAAGATTTCTAGGAACTGGGAAAGCAGGCTGAAATGAGAACAGAAAGACTCAAGTCCACTCTATGCATTCATACGGTACCTGGGAGCTGAATCTGTGAACATCGTCAGAGGCACTGACTAGATCAACGGAAGACATGGAGGAAGAGCGACTATAGGGCTACCAGAGACAGACAAAGAAAAAACCAAGTAATCAGAACAAAGGCACAACAGAGCATTCAGTACCAACTTCCAAACACAAGATCAAGGAAGAGAAAACAAAGCACTATATGAAACAGGCACAGCAGCAAGGGCTGGCTTCATGCACCTATTATGTATTATGTTCCAGAATCATTCCAAAAAGAGTGTAGTGCTTCCAGTGAAAAGTAATACCACTTACCCCAAAGAAGAAAGAGATTTAACACAACTGGCTGTACTTCTGGTTAGCAATTTTAGACCAGCCACTCACTATCTGACCCCCGCCCCCACCAATGTTCCCCTTAAACAAAAAAGAAAGAATGTTATGTTCAGAACAAGATTTCTAACTGTTTTGGAGGGTGTATATGGAATACAACATACAATACCAGAAAAAAAATCTCATTACCCAAATTCAAGAAAAGGGGAGAAAACTTGCACTACAAGATAGTTCCATCAACAGTTAATAACAATACAAGGTATACTTCCATCAACAGTTAATAACAAAACAATGTACACTTGCAGTGAACTCTGACATTAACTTACCTTTTGGACAAATCTATGTGTCCCCACAGAAGAAAAGGCATCTCCAGATGGCAAAGATGTGGGCCAATGTAATCTGACCTTTTCACTCTGTGACTAAAAAAAAACATACAATGTTAAGATGGGAAGATTTTTAAAAGTGTATTTTGCAGCTGAAGAATAGATAATATAACTTGGAACTACCAACATTCAGTTAGTGAACTCTTTATTGCTTATGAATATTTGAATTATGAAACTACTCTGTGATACAAGGCTTGCCAAATCCTGATACTTGAGATATCCTGATCCAATCTTTTCTTTCTGGATCCACAGATACTCTGCTAGGCCAGGAATAAGTTTTTGATTTTGCACATTGCGAGATTCCCTATTACCTGATCATATCATTTACCGTGAGCCAGTCTCCTACACTGGCCAAATCATTCCAATCATTCTACCTTAATCAGGGCTCTGCAGGGCTGGCCCATAGGCGCACATATGTATATATATGTAACTAGACCTACCAACACTGTTGGCTTCAGCTGTGCTCCTAAGAACATATCGTGTATACCTCTGCCTCCTTTACATTATCCCATCATTTTACTCTGGTTAGGCTGCCACCTGACCTCCTTCTGTTCAACTTGCCCTATGTTTGAAAATAACATAAGCTCAAAAATATGTAACATGAATATCACTTGGGGAATACCTACCAATGTAGTGGCTTTATTGTTGAGCTCTCTGTGCAAAATATCCTGAGTACAAAGAGGGAAATAATCTGAACCTATGGAGCTGACTTCATGGATCACCGAAGCTTACTATTCTATAAAATATTCCCACACTGTATCTTTGTCATATCAATGTGCCTGGCTATCAGGCAAGGAGAATCATGGTCTGGTCAATGACTGCTTTGCAGAACATCTACCAGAATGTCAAGAACAGAATGAAATTATATGATTTGATTTCTCTCAAACCAACTCAGTAGAGGAGCATTTTCTAGCCAACAGGGATGTTTTGAATCATCTTATCTAAATCCTTCTTTCACAGATCAGAAAACCAAGGCCTAGAGAATTAAGTGACAAGTTCATAGCTACAAAGTTAGAGATAAAACTAAGAGTAAGACTGAGGTGCCGTGACCTCATAGTTCACCATTTTTCTCAAAACAGCATATCCTAGACAAAAAAAAAAAACCCCAAAAAACTATAAACCCAAAGAAAATAAACAAATGATGCTGCTTCAGGTATACTTTAGGCTTCCAAAAGCCATTTAGGAACTGAAAGTTCCCACTCTCATTGAGTGGCACATAGTGTCTTTTGAGTATAAAAAAATGAGCAATATAACTTATAAATTCATGTGATATAAACTTTTTGTTACTGATTTTTAAAATATACTAAAAATAAACATGAGAAGGAAGCAGTCACTACTGCAGGTTATTCATCCTTGGCTAGAAAGGCCAGTAAATAGGCACAATGGCCATAACTACCTCAGCAATGACAGGAAATTAACAAGCTAACTTTTGTATGCAAATTAACTTATAGTGTAAAACTGATACACCTATGATTATGTGCAAGATACTTTATAACCAGAGTTTACTCATATTTGCCCAAAAAGAAGGTTAAATTTCCACCATAGATAACATAGTTCAAAGGAGGGGAAGAATTAACAAATTTCATCCTCAAGTACCATCTAGTGGTAAAATATAGTAACTGCATTGCTGCATTACAAAGTAATCAAATTTAATCTTGAGTTAATGGATTTAAGAAGCACTTTCATTCAATTTTCATAGAGAAAGCTGGGTATAACTGCTGTGAATTCAATGATGATGACAAAGTACTGAACAAACTAAAAGGGAGGAAGAAATTGAGGAGAAGGTAGTGAAGGCAATAAGGAGTTAATCATAAAAACTGAATGACACTAACACAGAAGAAAAAGTTTTGGTCATCTCTCTTGTGAATTCATGTGGTACTAGGTTAAGAGAAAGGAGACTTTTTACTCAGACTATATATATGGATGATGTTAACAGAATGGTTAAAATTGGGTACTTCAAGGGGAACAGGCAGAAGATTTCCACTTAAGCTCATGCTAATTATGCTTTCTATTGCTTGGAAATTGATATACAAAGGAACTGACTTACAAATATTCTAAATTTATGACTTGATGAAGACACAGTTAACTTTCTAAGTTACTAAGTTCACAGTTTTCAAATTTTATTTATATGAAATAACAAGTATCAAGTAATGCTTATAGGGTTGAAATGAATTTTAGCTTAGAAACTTCGGCGATAGACATACCTGCTCTTCTATTTTGTCTTGTCTGTCAAGAGCAGCTTCGACAGCATCAAAGAACTCTTCTTCATTAATCAGACTATTAGGGCCTTCCTATTTCAAGACACCGGGGAACAAAGCAGCTGATTTAAAGAAATGGAAAACACTGATAGCCTGGCACTAGCTACAGGAGACAGAGGAAAACTGACCCAGCAAACACTTACTGAACACATAACTGTGAACCAGTCAGCATAAGAGGTCACATTATCACAAAGAGGAGTGACATATGCTCTGTGTAAAGTCATAGGAGTGTTACAGTTAACTAGCTCACGCAGTATGCATATATTTACTGTACTGGGGTAATAGTTTACTATAGAGCAAGGGTCTGTTGGTCAGATCCAGTCTGCTGCCTACCGTTGCATGCCTATGAGCTACAGAATTTCCTTTCCAAATGGTTGGGAAAAAATAGCACTTCATTACAGGTGGGAATTACTTGAAATGAAAACTTTGGCATCCATAAATACAATCATGCTCATCCATCCAAGTACTGTCTACAGTTGCTTTTGTGCTGTAGTAGCCAAGCTGAGTACTTGCAACAGAGACATCCAAATCGCACAGAGGCAAGTACAAAGCTGCACAGGGTCTACAGACAACAAGCAGTACACATAGGAGTTCAGTCGAACCGATGCCTGAAAGCCCGGTTAAATGGCAGAGGCTATCGACCGCGTGAGGAACTGTGTGGGGAACTTGCTAAAGTGACACTTTCCAGGCTCCCAAACCCAGGCATTCCTTTTTTAGTGCATCTTGGGTCGACTCCTGGAAGATATACAGGTTTAACAATTCTAAGTGACTCTCATTCAAGTATCTATCAGCTGCATCAGGATGCAAAAGTACAAAGAACAGCAAATGATGAATGAAGTGAGCAGACCACAAGTGGAACCACAAGTGGAACAACACAAGGGTAACAGAAGTAGAGGCTGAACGCTAGGCCTGGGTTTAGGGTTTCTTAACATTTTTTATTTTGAAATTTGGCTTCAGAGATGGGGTCTCACTATGCCGTCCAGGATGGTCTTGAACTCCTAGCCTCAAGCAATCCTCCCACCACAGGCACCATGCTCAGTCCCTTAAAAAATATATTTGGAAGAGATTATTAAAAAACAAAAAATGAGCAAAAATAATCATTTGAAGTAGAGAATGCCTTTCTAAGCATGATACCAGATGTGGAGATAAGTGTACTCAAACACTGAGGGGGTTAATTACATGAAGGCTTGAAACTTTTGTTTCGCCAAACTCAATAAAAAAATTTGTTAAAAACTACAAAACAAATTTGGAAAAATGAAAAGCAAATTTTACACATCATCTAAATCAGTGGGGGAAAAAGAACACCTAATAAGAGTGGGAGCCCACAGAGGCCTGCTGGGAACAGGACTTTCATGTCTGGGAGGCTGCGATCCAAAGCCATTTTTGCTGGCTACAAGCAAGGTCTCGGGAGCCAAAGGGAGCACACAGCTCTTCTCAAAATTGAAGGTTGTTATGCCTGAAACGATACTAAATTCTATTTGGGCGAGAGATGTGCTTATGTATATAAAGCAAAGAACAAGACAGTGACTCTTGGTGGCAAACCAGGAGTAATCTGGGGAAAGGTAACTCAGGCCCAGGGAAACAGTGGCATGATTTGTGCCAAATTCCAAAGCAACCCCATTGGACACAGAGTCTGTGTAATGCTGTACCCCTCAAGGACTTAAACTGATGGAAAGTAAATAAATAAAAGTGGATTTGTGTTCCTGTAAAAAATAAAAATAAAAAAAAGTAAGAAAAGAGTTAAGGCGGGGCACATGGCTCATGCCTGAAATCCCAGCATTATAGGAGGCCAAGGTGGGAGGATTGCTTGAGGCCAGGAGTTTGAGACCAGCTAGGTAACACAGTGAGATCCTGTCTCTACAAAAAAACTAAAAAATAAAATTTTAAAAAACCAGTTAAATTATAGGAACAAATGAGTCACTAAAGAAGAAATATGAATTTTTAAACATCATTAGAAAATAAGCAGAAATAAAAAAGAAAATAAACATAAAGAAGCAAAGGAGTTTTTTGGCTTTGGAATTAGTAAACACATACACCTGGCACAAGACCCCTCTCTTCCCTCCACCCTCATCATCTTCCTCTGGGGGTGGGGGAGGAGAATCCTGTGTTGACAGAAGCAGAGATAAATATGCATACAATTATACTTATGAATTGCTGGTAGGCTATAAAATGTACCATACATTGCTAAATGGGCTTTATTGGCTTATTTGTATTTTCTGTAATCTTTCTATAACAATTATACATCTTATTTGTAATACAAAAAGGGTAATTTTAAAAGCTGATAATTGTTCCAAAAAATAAATCTAAAATACCAAGACAGTCTGCTTAGCTTCCAAATAAAACTCATCATCATGCCTTACATTTTAATAACCTAGATTTTTTAAAGCCAAGAGAATAGCTGATTATGTCATTTTTATACATTTTAGAAGAAATACATTGACAACTTAATAATTTTGAAATATTCTAATTCAAGTGTCATCATTATGAATTCCTACAGTTGGAAATCTATTCCAACAACAACAAAAGAATTCAGCCAATAACAGAGCAGCTTTCTTGTTTTCCTTTCTACAGCAGAAGTGGCAAGGCATTTTTCTTTTGTTTTTTTAAATATAACCTAATTATTTTATCATTCTGCTTCTACCTCAGTGATACTCCTTGCCACCTCAACTTTAACATGATCATTTCAGGAATATCAACATTGTTTAATGACAATTATCATATACATTTCTTACACATTTTCTTCTCTTAAGAAATACAGAAAGCTTACAAAATTTTAATATGCGTGTGTATACATGGAGTGGGAGATTTTATTAACTGCTTAACAAATAAAAGGGGAAAGAGACTGGTTTCAGATGGTTTCAAACAGTTCATGCTCTGCTATGGATAAGATCTGACAGTGTATTTCAGACTAAGAGCTTTCGTCAGCAGAGTACTCAGATTTTTCCTCCATAGGTTGCTTTTATTTTTAAAAAAGGGCAGATTATATTAAAAATTATCATCTCTATAGAGGAGATAAAAACTTGTCCTATAAAGTGGACAGGTCTAATACTGAGTCTTTTAAAGCCTGTATCACACTTTCTAGACGATAAATAATATCTATTTCAGAGTAAACCTGTCATTTCTATATCATGAAATATACACTGAATTAAAATAAACATTGAGGAAGAAATTATGTATTTAGAATATTTAAAGGTTTAAAAGTATTATTTAAAAATTAATCACTTTTGTGATAGATATGGCCTTAGTGTTTCTCTAAGATCAAACTATAAATTCATACTTCATAATCTGGTCCTCCAAAGTGAGATTTTTTCTTAAGTTCTATCATTGCATTTTTATATGCTTCCTCTGCTCTTCTTTTCTTCTCAACTTCCTATTTAAAAAAAAAAAAGTGAAACATTTATAATTAGAAGTGGATATACTAATCACAGTGAAGTCATTTAAGTGGATTTCCTCTACATTTCACTGAAATTTTGTGTCTTGACCAAAAAATAACTCCAATCCTGTGAAAAATAAGAGTATGATTCTGCCCAAGAAAACCACTTTTCTCTGGGTTATCTATCACATACAACCTACCATTTAAATCACTGTAAGATCACCTTATAGGTAGGTTATGTATTTAAACGTCTAAGTAACTGCCAAGACATCTAAGGCACAATTTTTAAATAGATAAATTAGCACCAGAGAAATAGCGACTATGTATCACTATATTTTCTCCCCCACAGTAAGGGCTATATATTTTTTTGGTATGAGGAAAAAAGCAAGTAACAAATGCCAGATTAAAACAAAAGAAAAAAACTAAATAGGGAGAATCAATGAATGCTAAAAAGATATTCTAAGAAAGAAAATTTTCTTATACTTTCTCCTTGCAGTTTTCTAACTATTTTAGAGCCAAGAAAGACGTTAGCTGCCTATTTTAACTCTCCTTTTATAGACAGTGCCTACAACTTTAAAAGGGTAAAGGGATCACTTGACCCAGGAGAGCAAGAAACCTGTAGTTCCAGCTACTTGAAAGAGCTGAGGCAAAAGCATTGGCTGAGTCCAGGAGGTCAAGGTTGTGGTGAGCTGTGATTGTGCCTCTGCACTCTAGCCTGGGCAACAGAGTGAGACCCCGATTCAAAAAAAAAAAAAAAACACAAACATGCTGTATAGTAGTACAAAAATAGTTTTTGTAAAAAATGTTAAACGTTTTTGTTAAAAATCAAGACTCTAACACACATACTAGCCTAAGCCTACATAGGATTAGGATCATCAAAACTTCACTAAGCGATAGAAAATTTTCAGTTAAAGTATAATCTTTTTTTTTCTTTATTTCAACGGCTTTAGGGGGTACAAATAGTTTTTGATGACATGGATGGAAGCACTGCATAGTGGCAAAGAACTCGGGGCTTTAAGTGTACCCCCCACCCCCACCTGTGCACACTGTACCCGATAGGTGATTTTTCATACCTCCATCCCTCCCCCTTCCGATTCTCAATGATCATTATACCATTCTCTATGCCTTTGCAGAGCCTCAGTTTAGCGCCCACTTATAAGTGAGAACATGCGGAGTTAGGTCTTCTGTTCCTGCGTTAGTTTACTTAGGATGATGTTCTCCAGTTCCATCCAAGTTGCTGTAAAAGAGCTCCATTGTAGTCTTCGGGGACCACAGTTGTATACGTAGTCCAGCACTGGTCCAAACGTTATCATGCAGCATATGACTGTACCTAATGGCTAAATCAAAGTCCACAATGGACTCACACAAAGCTAACTACTTCCAAACACCGAATCTGAATTCAAGCCAGTGCAAATCAATAAATCCATTCGATAGATCCAAAGATTTCATTAATTTGTTTTTGTGTACTCAGGAGAAAATGGAACTACAGTACAGACCCACCACAATGACTGAAATGTGCCATGACTGCACCTGTGAAAAGTCACTGCACTACAACCTAGGCAATACAATGAGATTCCAACTCTTTTTTTTTTTATTAATAGAATCTCTTCGGAAAATTATTTCCCAGTATCCACTAAAGCGAAGCATATATCCCATGAACAAACAATTTTATTCCAAGGTATGTGACCAAGAAAAATGCACCTAAAGATAGAGTCAAGAATTCTCACAGAAATTTTATTAATAAGAATCAAAAATGAAAACAACCTAAATGTTCATCAACAGGAAAATAGAAAAGCAAACTGAGGTCATTACAATGAAAATGTATCATATAATAAAATACTATATAGCAATAAAAAATAAACTACCACTAAATTTAATAGCATGGATGAATCTTGCAGTCAATGCTGAGGAAAAAAGAAAGATAAACACATGGGTACATAGTATGGTTCCACTTATATGATGTTCAAGAACAGGCAAACTAATCTATAATGATGTAAGTTAGAACTGTGGTCACCTCTTGTGATGGTGGTTTGGTATGGACTAGGAAGAGGTATGAAAGAACCTTCTAGGAAGGGTTTTAGAAAAAATTATATACTTTGAGCTGAGTGTGGTTACAGGGGTATATACGAATGTTTAAAAAAATCATCAATCCTTAAGACCGGAACACTGTATTTTAATATCTTAATTTTAAAAAGTGAATAAAACAAAAATGCACAGCACAGCAATGATATTAAAAAGATTGAGAAAGCATGTAAAATTATACACTTGAGTCTACTGACATAAGATAACTTATCTTCAACGAACAGATTTTCTCTTATTAACATTGCTAACTAAAATTGTTTAAACTTAGAATTTTGGGTCTTCCTGGACAAGACTGGCTAATAATTAAGTATGCTTCTATAGCAGAGGAAATTATTCTTACAGAGAACCAAGAAAAATCACCACCATTTAGCAATATTCATTTTCAGTTAGCTGAAAGAACACTGTACCTAACAGAAGAGTCTACATAAGAGTAATTTAAATAATTCTACCATAAAAGAGCTGTTATTATGATCACCTATTTAATTGCTCTCACTAGATTTCAAGCTTCTTGAGGCACTATATTCCGCTCATCACTGCTTCCCCAGTTTTAGCTCAGTGCCAAGCACACAGCAGGCAAGCAAACACTTTCTGAATGAAACAATTTCAATGAAATCATTGTTAAAATCATACTTCTTTCCTCATTCTATGAATTACCTGAAAGGCATTTATTGATAAACAATTTTTCTATTCAAGAACTTTTCTAGTCTTCTTTTCTAAGCGTATATGCACATATACAAACACTCCACACACACTCAATAAAGACTAGAAAGTTTTTGAACAGAGTTACCATGTATATATACATACATACATATACAAACACACATATTAGGGGTATACACACACTTCCATTCCATGTAAAATGTAACTGGGATCAAGCTTGAGAAAAAATTATAGTGGAAAAGGTGAATAAGATTTGACTTCAGATAGATCTGTATAAAGACTACAAAACACGGTAGTTTTCAGATTTCAATTAATATTGCCATCTTTTCTGGCTGTTCTTTGGTTAAGAGTGTCACATGAAGCAACAAAAGCAGTTTTTTTTCACAGATCCTTTGGTTTGCTCTACTTATTGCTTGCTATCCAATAAAGAAAGAGAACTGATAAGATTAACAACACTGATGGCAATAAAAAAGACAGGGTCTTCTTATATTGTCAGGCTGGTCTCAAACTCCTGGTCTCAAGGAATCCTCCTGCCTCAGTCTCCCAGCAAATTGTTGGGATTACAGAGTGAGCCACTGCAACTGGCCTTTTTTATTTTTAATAAACATTTCTTGCAGCAGTGCAGTTAGAGTACATATGACTCCTTAGTGAAAGATAAATAGAGTAAAAAGAAGAGAGAGAGTTGCCAAAAAGTTGCAAATATGCTAGTCTGGACAAGTTGAATAATACTCTCGAACCATCAGTGTAGTGAGTTCAAGGAGTTGTCCTGTTTTTGAATACATGATTTTTTGTGTGTGCACAAGGATTCTTCTAATAATTCAACTTGATCTAGATTGAGTACAGAGTTGAAATCTTTGAAGATATAATAGTTTGGCTCCAGGATGATAGAAAATGAAATGTCTATACTTATAAGAATGTTTTCATTGCCTGTTTTAAAAGAAGACATATTGCTAGTCAATATGGCTTACTGTCACCTGCGCTTGAGAATTCTGAACAGTTCTCCTTTCTTCTAAAACATGGGGACCTTCTTAAACACATAGTAAGTACAATTCAAATCCTGTGGCTATTCTGCCATTTCATCAGTGATGACATTGCTTTCCTTAGTGTCCTGTTCAAATTGAAAGACCTTCATAAAGACCACAAGCAATATATCTCACTGATGATAAGATTCTGGCTAATGCCTAGCCTGGTATCTAAACTTGAATATCAGATTAAAGAAAATTTTCTCTAATTCTGCTAATTTAAAACCTTTGGACAAGTATTTGGGCCTTAGTTCCTTCTTCTATAACATGATGGCACTAGACTAGAACTAAATTCTCTAAGGTACGTTTTGGTTCTAACATTCTTTCTTTCTTTTTTTTGAGTTGGGGGTCTCACTTTGTTGCCCAGGCTTGACTGGCCAGATCACAGCTCACAGCCTTGGCCTCCAGGGCTCAGGTGATCCTTCTGCCTCAGCGTCTTGAGTAGCTGAAACTACTCGTGTGCACCACCACACCAGGCTAATTTTTTGTACACACTAGGTCTCACTGTGTTGCCCGGCTGGTCTCAAACTCCTGGGCTCAAGCAATCCTCTTGTCTTGGCCTCCCAAAGTGCTGGGATTACAGGAACGAGCCACCATGCATGGCCCTACTATGTTTCTAAAGATGAATTATAAACATGTTTTCCTACTGAACAAACTCACTGAGCCATACTTCACACTAGAAACTAAAGATTCACATTGCAATGTTATTACCAGTGCTGCAGTTTAAGTAAAGGTGGGAAAATGTGAACATAGGACAAATGTTCACTCAAACAGCATTAACGTACACGAAATATCACACTGACCATGGAAAAATGCACGACTATAAATGTAAGAAGCAAATGTTTAACTTTGTAAATTGGTACTTAAGTTAGCTCATACACCTTAAATGCAATTTCATCAGGCACTAAAAGCAGGTAATGTTAAATGGTTCTATCCTTCTATTCCAAAACATTACTAACATCATTACAAAATTTTTATATTAAATTCTTTCAAAAAACGAGTGTCTAGTAAGTAAATAGACAACTGGTAAACCTTGCTAGAAAAATGAATTTAAGATGCCTATAAAGTTTCAGAGTAGTAGTATCACCTGCTACTTCTATCAACCCAATAGATTCTTCCCTAAGAAGTTAGTTTGGTTTAATATCCAATCAACCTTAAATAAAACGATTGTTTTGAAAAGAAAAATAAAACAAGTCTTAGTCTTACCTTGTCCAGTCTCTTCTGCCAGCTGTCCTCGCGTTTAACCATTAGCTCAATACAATGAGAAAGTGTTGCAAGGATTCCAGCAGTAGTCGCTTTAAAAGTTATTGCTTCCCCTTTAAAGTCTATACCATTAATTCCTTTTGGTGCTACATGTGGAAATACTGAAAAGAGAAAGTTATTCACTGAAAATCTTTCTAATGGAGATTTAATCACAATTTAAGATTAGAAAATGTTTAGAAAACTAGCAAGTCAGAGTAGGTTTTTGGATAATTTTCTTCCTGTGGGTCAACATTTAAAAATCTCACATCCATTCTCTATGAGCAAAGAAACTTTGTGGCAGCAGCATATGTACTTTCAAGTCCTTTTTTCTAGATTCTATTTCCTAAAATGTATTTGCTGTGCCACACCCAATGAATCAAGTAGTAGAAGGAGTAAAACTTTAACATTCAGGAGTAACATTCTGACAGCTTAGAACAGGTCCTAATAATGGCAAGAATTACCTCACACCTTGAGAAACCTGGAATTTCAAAAATATCTAAAAATAAACTAAAGAATCTCACAAGGACATACAAAACTTAAACATCCAAATTTAAGTCTGGAACCAATGCACTTATTTAAATGGTTTTTATGTTTAAATTTTGTTTTAACTCATGGTTAGCTTTTGAATTAAATAAAAAATCATAAAACTCACAAGATACAAACAAGAAAGCATGATATTTTAAAGTTAATAAGAAACCATTCCAGGAGAATCCTTATAAATGAAATGACCCTTTCAACTTCAAAAGCTCTTATGCAGATAGCATAGTAAAGGTGCATTCCATAGAAGAACAAACTGACAAACTTTGTCAAAATTAAAAATTTCTGTTCTTCAAGACATATAAAGAGAATGTATAGATAAGCTGCAGATTGGGAGAAAAATCTTTGCATGGCATATATTTAGTAAAAGCATACATTCATTTCCAGAATAGACAAAGTAACTTTAAAACTCAAAAATAAGACACTCCTTATCAACAAGGGTGCCTGAACAATGCACATTTGTATACCTAACTCTTAACTATACCCCACAATTTTATAATAAAAAATGTTAAAAAAAAGAAAATAAACAACACAATTTTTAAAAAAGGGGCAAAGATGTGAACATATACTTCTCCAAAAAAAAGATATAAATGGCAAATAGGCACATGAGAAGATGCTTAATATCATTAGTTACTAGGGAATAAGAAGCACAACTACAATGAGATACAGCTATTATAAGTGACTGAAATTTAAAGACCAACCATACTAAGTGTTGACAGGGATGGGGAGAAGCTGAAACTCTGATATTGGGCTGGTAAAAAAAAGTCTGACAGGCTGAGTGTAGTGGCTCACACCTGTAAACTCAGCACTTTGGGAGAATTGCTAGAGCACAAAAGCTCAAGACCAGCCTGGGCAATCATATAGTGAGACCTCACCTCTACAGAAAAATTTAAAAAATTAGCCGGGCTTGGTGGTGTGTGCCTGTTGTTTCAGCTACTCTGGAGGTTAAGGTGGAATGATCGCCTGAGCCCAGGAGGTTGAGGGAGGCTGCGATAAGCCATGATTGTGCCACGGCACTCCAGCCTGGGCAACAGAGGGAGACACTCAACTAAAAAATTAAACCAAAAAAAAAGTTTGGCAATGTCTTTACATGTTAAACAGACATCTACCATCTACCATATAATTCAGCTATTTCATTCCCAGGCACACTCCCAGGTACAAAAGAAATAAATGCCCTGCAATAACTTGTATATAAACATTCATAGCAGCTTTATTTGTGATAGTCAAAACTATAAAGAGCCTAAATGTCCATCAATGAATGAATGGATAAGCAAACTGTGGTTACTCTAATGCAATGAAATACTACTCAGCAAGGAGAAGAACTCAACTACTGATACACACAATAATACTGATGATTCTCAAACTAAGAAAGAAGCAAGACAAAAAAGAACACATACTTTATCAGTGCATTTATATTAAGTTCCAGAAAATGCACACAATTTTATAGGAACAAAAAACTGATCAGTGGTTGCTTGGGAATGGGGGAAGAATGGGATAACAACAATAACAAAAAAATGGAGGAACTTCTGAGGGTGATAGACATGTTAGCTACCTTGACTGTGGCTGAAAGTTTTTACAAAGATATATAAACGTACCAAATTATACACTTCAAATGAAATGTCAATTTTATTTCTATAAAGTTCTTTAAAAACACATTTTTTGGGGGTTAGGATGGGCATATAGGTCAACTGAATAGAACTCAGAGTCCAGAAAAATACTTTCACATTTTCACTCAGTCAAGTTTTCACAGGGGTGTCAAGGTAACCCAAAGGGAAAAATCCATCTGTTCAACAAATGATGCTGGGGCAGCTGGATATCCATATGTGAAAGTTACCATTATTATACAAGGTCAGAATATGATTTTTATCTACATGTCTTAGAAGACATTTTCAACGGAAATCCAGCAGTTCTATTACTTTTTAAAAATCACTTAATTATTCTTTATGAGTTATTATATAACTTCAGAGAGTATATTTTATCCAGCTGAGGGGGAAATGTATTGCTTACACTTTTCTTTGTTGCCATTGGTATTATGCAAGAAGTCTCCATCAGAACGTGTAGTAGGAAAGTCGTCTTCATCATCTTCCACCACTACATAAAACATATTTAGGGAGATCAGGGTTACAAAATAGAAATTAATCAGTTTATTCTCCTGTTCAACGGAGTCAATTTTCTCTAGATTCTACTCATCTTTGTATTTTCATTGGTAATTAAAGTGTGCTCAAAAAGCATGCTGTGGAGTGTCTTCAAATGCAATACATTATTTAAAAATGATATCCATCCTTAATGGTTTAAGGGAAAGTTACTGAGTTATAAATTAGTTACCTCTTTCCTACCTACCTTGGGGCCATTTCATAACTCTACAAGAGGCTAGAGGGCTGAGCAAGGTTGAAAAAGGAACCTTCCATGTAGAGGATACTTCAGTTTGCCTGAGAGTTCTTAAACATAGTGTTTTTGGATAAGCAGAGAAAATATAATGACTTGCAGATGTTTCCATCATTCCAGTATGTGTCTAAGTTTGGACATCCCTTTTAACTTCCCTAATTTCAGAAAAAACCAGAATCCCTTGTGTTCTTTTGCGTGTCTCCTCCTTCTGTGCCCTATCCCTCTTCTACTCCTAACACACTTTAACTCTCTGTACTTTGTATTCCACTCATCATGAAAACTTCTGAACCTTAGCCCCTAACTTTATTTGCTGCTTTTACTAAGCTTTTTATGGCTTATTTTATTATCTTTTGAGGAACTTCCTTTCTACAGAAGGAACCTTCATTCTAAATGAGTGTCTTAGTTATTGTCTGTATCTTTCTACCTCAGGAGTACTAGGCTCCACAAGGAACATCTCATCCACTTTAGCTCTCTCGCCTATGGATGCAGAGCCCAATGTGATACCTTATTCCATTCTTGGTTAAATGGTAGGAATCACCATGGAAAATGCCTATTTTCTGTACTGCTTTTTTTTGAGTTAGAGTCTCACTCTGTTACCCAGGCTGGAGTACAGTGGCATGATCATGGTTCACAGGAGCTTTGAACTACTGGGCTCAGGTGATCCTTCTGCCTCAGTTACCCAAGTACAGGTGATGTACAGGTGTACATCACCTGTAGCCTGGCTAGTTTTTAAATTTTTTCTTAAGAGACAAGGTCTCACTATATTGCCTAGGTTGGTCTCAAACTAGTGGGCTCAAGCAATCCTCCTGCTTTGGCCTTCCAAAGTGCTAGGACTAGAGGAGCGATCCACTGCACCTGGCCTCTACCACTATTTTCTAACTACTGGACTATTTCATTTTTCTCAACACTTGAAAATTTTGGGCCAGGTGCGGTGGCTCAAACCTGTAATCCCAGCCCTCTGGGAGGCCCAGGTGAGAGGACTGCCTGAGCTCGTGGATTTGAGACCAGCGTGGGCAACACGGTGAGACCTTGTCTCCACAGTAAAATAAAAAAATTAGCTGGGTGTGGTAGCGCACACCTGTAGTTCCAGCTACTTGGAAGGGGGAGGCGGAAGGATCACCAGATCCCAGCAAGTCAGCGCTGGGGTGGCTGTGAGTGTGCCACTGCACTTTAGCCTGGGCAACAGAGTGAGACTCCAACTCAAAAAAAAAAAAGAAAAATTTTAAAACACAACTTGCTATTATTATCAACTAACAACACCTTGTACTCATTTCTACTTGGCTATGACATCAATATTCAATTGACATTTTTCTTTTCTATATCCATCATTCCTAAAGATTTCAACATCTATACTAAAGCCTATGCAGACACTTTATTCCAAGATCACCACTTTCCAAGATTCTATGGCTCATCATGTCCTCATCCATCTAAGCAACTCTAAGAAATCCATTAATAAAGTGCACTGCTCTGTTTTTAAACCAATACTGGTTGAAAAGCTCCAAAATGCAAAACTTCTCGAGTGCCAATACATGATGCTCATTGAAGTCTTTCAGATTTCAGATTTTCAGATTAGGAATGCTGAACTGATAAGGATAATGCAAACATAAGTGTAATGCAAATATGTATTCCAATATCCAAGGTCCAAAACATTTCTGGTCCCAAGCATTTCGGGTAAGGTATATGCTACCTATATTCATCATCTATCAAAATCCAGACCTTAACTCAATACTACTCTAATTAACTGCTTTTAAATGCTACTGAATGGCTCAAACTTCATTTACCTTATTAGACTACTTTGAGTTACAACAGATTCACTTTCTAACCCTTGACTCTATGGTTACCTACTCCTATGTTTTCTTCATCATACATGATACATATTCTCAATCTTATAAGCTCCAAGTCTACAAACCAGACATTTCTGAATCATACATCTAAGTTTGTCCCTATACCTTCAACTTTAGAGCTGATACATAAGGCTCTATAAAATGAAGAGACTCGTCTCACTTAAAAAAAAAAAAGTTCATTTCTTGTTTATTTCTCTCTTATGTCAACTAAGAGGGAACATGAATTTAAAAAATTAATCACCACCAAGGAGGGATCTTGTTCAATACCGCTCTTCATGGAAGGCAATAAAATATTTAAAAAGGTATTCCTGAAGAGTTTTTAGGTTGTAGGTTGGCTTTGGAAATGTATACTTATTATCACAGAATTTAAATTTTCTGCTTTATCTTGACCTTTCTTTTCTCTGCATCTTTTGCTCTCAGATAAAAATCATGCTTATTATCAGTTGAAGTTACAATGCAACTATCCCTAAATTAGTTATCTGGCATAATCCCACAAAGATGAGTACCTTTGTTTTAAGATCCTTACTTCCTGGGACATTTTCAAATGTCTCTACTTTTTGCCATCTTATCAACGAAAAATTAAAGCAGTTTGTCACCCACTCTTCACTTTTACTTTAGGCACACAGCAACAGATATTCATTGTTTGTTCTAGATTTTATGTATTTTCACAATTTGAAGGATGTATTTTCTAGGAAAACTCAAAAACCCTCCATATAACATTTGCTTCTTCCTTTCTGCTGGTCTCTCCTTCTGCCTTCAGAAGGCTTGTTTACAATGCTGGTTCCTGTTTCTGCTAAATAGGTTATCCATTTATCAAGGAACTTAAAAAATATATAAGCTTAAAGTCCACCTTTCCTTGCAACCTTTCAATATTATGGTTCAGTAGGATCTGGATGACTGGTACAATACAGGTATTTCTTTTTAAAAGCTCCTCCAGGTCATTACAATAATCAGGTAGTCATCCATTTTTTCCACCACCCAAATATTTCTCAGCCATCAGCAAATTAAATCTTCCTCTGAAACTACCTCTTTACCATAACCTCCTCCACCAAAGAGACACAGAAAAGTTTTCTCAAAGGTTAACTATCTTTTAATAAAATCGATTTTTATGGTTCATCCCCATCTCTTCCTTGACCCCTTGACCTCTATGCTTGTATTTGACAGTGTCCATGTTTCTCATGAAATTTCTACTTGCCAAGACTGAACATTCTTGATGGATCTCTCATCTTTCTAACCATGAATCTGTTTGATGTTTGTTTTAAAAATCAAATATCCTTTTGCTCTTTAGCTGTGGGCATCCTTCAAGTCTCCTTTCTCAGATATTTTTCCTTCCATCCCTTGGGAATGTATCTACTTTTATAATTCCAACTACTTTTTATGCTAAGGAGTCACTAACTTATTTTCTTGCGACTTCTTATACTAGCACCAGGTTCACATCTCTCACAGAATTTCTCCAAAGAAACGTCTACTTCTAAAACTAAATAGCTCCAAAAACAAACTAGCTGTGCTAATACTGGTACTTTACTTCCCTCTCTGCAGTTTTCTCATCTATAAAAGGTCTTAGTACTAATACCTACATAAACGTATTGTAAGATTACATTAGATAATTAATATAAAGTATTTAACATAGTACATGGGAAATACCATAAAACACCATAAAAATTAATCATGGTGACTTTCTTCTAATGGATTTCCTCTCTATTGTTTATACTTAATCCAGAGCTCCTTTATGAATGCTTAGATTACTACAATGGTTACCACATGATTTTCTTCTATCTTAAATCTCTGACCATTCCAATCTATGTTACAATTATCTACAATTATAAATCTTTTAAAAATATTAATTTCAATTTAAGTCCTTGCCTCAACATAAGTAACTCCTCAAATTACCAATGTGAACGTTAACTTTCCCATTAAATCCCAACTGTTCTTATATTCAGTATTCTCTACCTAATAGCCTATTAGCACCAAATGGGAATTTTCAACTATTTTTTTAAGCCCAATACTCAATATATAAAACTGATGAAAAGAGAGTTACTTTTACTAAAATAGCAACCTTTTCCCTTTTTTCCCCCAATAAAGGACTCCTTGTGCATCCTTGAGGCAATTTTAAGAAACTCTTAGGGATAACTGACACAGTTTGAAATCACTGTCCTGATACAAATCTTCTAGCCCAAATCAACATTCCCTTATCAACATTCAAAACTATTATACTAAATCCCGCCTTTGGATCTTACACATTCCTGCTTCCCTATGCCCCTGCAACAATCCAAAGTAATCACGTGTGGCCAGGCATGGTGGCTCATGAGTGTAATTCCAACACTCTGGGAGGCCAAGGCAGGAGGATAACGTGAGCCCAGGAGTTTGAGAACAGCCTGGGCAACATAGCAAGACCTCGTCTCTACAAAAACATCAAAAAAATTAGTTGGGTATGGTGGCACACTCCTGTAATCCCAGGCTAGGAGGAGTTAGAGGCTGCGGTGAGCTATGAACATACCACTGCACTCTAGCAAGGGCAAAAGAGTGAGAACCTGACTCAAAACACACAAACAAACCTCAAAGTAACCACGTTAATAATGGCAGCTATTATTTATTGGGTTTTTGCCGTTATACAGTGCTAATACATATTATTATTATTTAATTCTCACAATCACATGTGCTAGGTAAAACATCCATTTTACAGTTGAGATGTTAAGAAATGTTAAGTAATCTATTTCAAATCATCAAATTAACAATGAATAGAAGAGCAAGATTAGAAGAAATTTAACTTTTAATGTGGTATTTTTTAAAATTTATGTATTTAGAAAGAAGGATTTATTAAGAAGAAAGAAAAGCTCCCACAGTGGGAGGGGACTTGAAAGA